AAATTTTTAAGTCCCAGCTGGGACTGGAATCTCCATCCGTGAAATTTTTAAGTCCCAGCTGGGATGATTTAGCTGGACTTGGTCCTGCTTTGGGCAGGGCATTGGACTAGACAATCTCTTGAGGTCTCTTCCAGCCCTAATCTTCTATGATGTTTATGTAGCCTACTGCTCACTGGTATGCCCAAGGGTTCCTCCTGCTTCATGAACATGAACCAATTAAGGGCCTGATCATGCTCCCATGAGCTGGGGCTGGATGGAACTTCTATGCATGGCTCTTGCCCTCCCATGTAGCAGGGGCTCAGCTGCCTCCATAGTAGCATCCTGTTCCTCTGGTCTGTACAGAGGGCTCTCTGCAGTGTTGGGGTGCATGCAAGTAGGTGGGGAATGCATCCTTCCCCTCACAGCACTGCTGAACTCAGAGCCCCAGGGTAACTCCCCCGCCTGTGATGGGATTTCCCTTTAAGAGAAGTTCCAGGGGAAGCCCTAGGAATAGTGTGGCTCTGCTCCAGCCAAACTGCTTAAGAGCTGCTGCAGAGGCACAAAACCAACCTCCCTAGAGGCATCTCCAAGCTTGCCTGTATCAACATTCTCTGACATCTAAGCAGATCCTGGGGAGTAAGCAAGGTTTGTGGTGCAGCCCCTGAGACTGCTGGATGGAGGCACAGGGAGACTGGGTGTCAGATTTCTGTAAAGCCCCTAGCATCTTTTGGATACTGAGACCTGAAGCCAGCAGAGCATTTAAGCAGGTGCATTCAGCATAACCCTCAGCATGTAAGTAGCCCTATATAAATGAAGGCATACAGCTTGTGCTTAACAAAATGGTTCTCACACTGCGGGGTATGCCCCGGGGGGCAGGATGAAGCAGTGATTGAGGGGAATGGCAGGGCCCAGACCAGCTACCGGGGGACAGGGAGGAAGGACCACCCATGCCCACTCTAGCTCCAATTCTGCTCCTGCACACAGTCCCTCCCCTGGTCCCAGCTCCAGATGCAGTTCTGGTCCCAGCTCTGACCTCAGCCCCTGGCCATGGCCCCCAGCTCCTGGCCCCAAATGTGGCCCCAGCTACAATGAGGCCCTGGTCCCAACTGCGCCACAGTGTTCCTGACCACAGCTCCGCTCCTGGTATGACACCCCAATAGTCAGCACAGTGATGTAATCAGGATGTTTTGTACAAAGTACATATAATGAGTTGTCATTCTGAAAGTCATGATCTGCTAAACATGAATATCTCATTGGATTGTGTGTGTTATTGTGTGTGAAGTTACAAAGTTTGGCCGCTTATGTGTTACTGACACGTGTGGTGAGGTTCAAAGCACCCACAAGCAGCCTTTCAGGTACAACAGTCAAAAAGCCAAACAGTGTTGGCTGCTTATGCAAAACACACACCCAGATTACACAACAGAAACCTTTCAGAGCCAGCATTACACAATGGGAACTGTTTGACCCAGGTCACAGCAAAAGAGCTTTCCAGCAAGTGGGAAGAAGATATAAAAGGGAGACAGTGACATCATAGGGGTACCCTACAACAACACACCTGGAAACACTTGAGGAATAAAGACTGAACTGTGGGAAATGATGGTTCCAGGCTGGAAGGATTTGTAGCCAGTATAAGAAAACCAGGGCAACTTGTGCCTTAAGAATCTGCCAGCCTGTTTATCACTCAGGGTGAGAATTTTCTAAGGTATATCTGGTGTGCTAAGATCAGTTCGTGGGTTTTGTTTATTTACTAAGGATATCTGTTTTGTTTGCTCTCCTGTATTATCACTTAACACTTACCTTTCGTAGTTAATAAGGGTATTTCTTGTTTATGTCAAAACCCAGTTTGTGCCATTCATATCTGGGGGGAGGAGAGACGAAAAGCTGTGCATACTTCTCTCCACATTGAAGAAGAGGGTGAATTCTTATGAGCTCGTGCAGCTCTCTATACAGTGCAGACATTATTATTATTCTGGGTTTGCACTCCAGATAGTGTGTGCACCAGAGTATTGGGCACATCTTCAAGCTGAACCCTCTCACACAGATCTGATTGCAGTCTGTGTCTACAGCTGGGTGTGGTCTTGCCTAGCTTTGTGCTGGAAAAGGACTTGAGGTCCTGGCACAGCAATCCAATGCAAGGAAAACCCAGTTTAGTAGTGCCAGTAGGCTCAGTTAGACCCTAGTATATCTGGTGGCACCCCTGACAGTCAATCCGCCACACCGAGTTCCTGCTCCCCACTGAGGCTCCCTGGGAGGCATGGACCAGATAAGTGGGGGCTATGAACAAAAAAGTTTGGGCACTGCTGGCTTAACATTATACTTATACTGCACTGGCTCATGGCCTCTCTGTCTCTCAATACATAATACACAAAAATCCTTACACACTCTTCCTCTCCCTTGTGAGGTGAGTCAGTATCATCCCCATTTTACAGATAGGAAAAGGGAGGCACATAGACATTTGTAATGACTTGCCTAAGATCACATAGAAAGTCAGTGATAGAGATGGGACTTGGATCTGCATCTTCTGCTTGTTAGTCTCATGCTAAAGCCACATAAAATCCCTCTACGTAGATGTACAAAGGTTAGAAAAATAGTAAAGTAAGTGCAGCTCAATACTTAAAATGAATGTTTAATTGAAAAGTCTCAGAGGGGTAGCAGTGTTAGTATCTACAAG